AGTGTTGTCACTACCCCAAGTGTACAGTATTATCACCCTGTGCACTCAAAATAACCCACTCGTCCGATGGTAGATGACCAGATGGTGGAAACACGAATACGTACTTACACCCGAAACACAAGTGTAAACACGTGTGGTGTCACCCTGGGCAAGTGACTTAGTTCAAATGTGCCTCTGTTCACCCAGCAGGGAATGGGTACCCAATATGTGAGGTGGATGTAAAAACCTTCTAGCGCCTCTGGGCAGCTTGGGTTGTATACTCCCCAGGGAGCTGAGAATGATAACTGAAATGCAAACAGATCCACTGGTCGGGGAATGAATAAAACTGAATTTGAGCAGATACCAGTACCTGGATAACTGCAGTATATAAATATGTAGTTTAAATTAAAAAAATTAAAAATACTAGCATGGCCATATAGTCACCGGATCTCAACCAGTTCAGCATATGCTGAGCTAGACAGACAGCTGCTATCAAGAGTTCATGAACATATATCTACTATAAAACTAAACTTCATGGAATAAATATGTGGATAAGAATTTTATTATTGATTTTATGATTGTGTGATTGATAAGTATAATTTGCACCATAAAAACAAATCGATTGCACTTATCCACATGACTGGGATACAATGACATATGATCAACCAATCATCGAGCCACCAACTCCACTCATTAGCCTCTTACGACAAGCATAGTTGACTGGGAATACTTTGATAGGCACTTTGTCATAGGTTACTTGAAACCTATATTCTTACCCGTAATCCCCACGGCAAGTCAGGTCTTATGATATGTATGGAATACTAACTCTGAAAGACTGATATGTGTCACAAGCCAACTATTGCTTTACACAATTCTTGGGATCTATTCTAACTCGGTTTCCCCAAGGGGTGGGCCAGCATAAGTTGCTGGGGATCTATTCTAACCAAGTAAGGTGGACCAGTATAGGTTGCCTGGGATCTCTTCTAACCAAGTAGGGTGGACCGGCAAAGGTTGCTGAGGATCTATTCTAACCAGGCAGGGTGGACCAGCATAGGTTGCTGAGGATCTATTCTAACCAGGCATGGTGGACCAGCATAGGTTGCTGAGGATCTATTCTAACCAAGTAGGGTGGACCGGCAAAGGTTGCTGAGGATCTATTCTAACCAAGTAGGGTGGACCGGCAAAGGTTGCTGAGGATCTATTCTAACCAGGCAGGGTGGACCAGCATAGGTTGCTGGGGATCTATTCTAACCAGGCAGGGTGGACCAGCATAGGTTGCTGGGGATCTATTCTAACCAAGTAGGGTGGACCGGCAAAGGTTGCTGAGGATCTATTCTAACCAAGTAGGGTGGACCGGCAAAGGTTGCTGAGGATCTATTCTAACCAGGCAGGGTGGACCAGCATAGGTTGCTGGGGATCTATTCTAACCAGGCAGGGTGGACCAGCATAGGTTGCTGGGGATCTATTCTAACCAAGTAGGGTGGACCAGCATAGGTTGCTGGGGATCTGTTCTTACCAAGTAGGGTGGACCAGCATAGGTTGCTGGGGATCTATTCTAACCAGGCAGGGTGGACCAGCATAGCTTGCTTGGATCTATTCTAACCAAGTAGGGTGGACCAGCATAGCTTGCTGGGGATCTATTCTAACCAAGTAGGGTGGACCAGCATAAGTTGCTGGGGATCTGTTCTAAACAGGCAGGGTGGACCAGCATAGCTTGCTGGGGATCTATTCTTACCAAGTAGGGTGGACCAGCACAGGTTGCTGTTGATCTGTTCTAACTAGGCAGGGTGAACCACCACAGGTTGCTGGGGATCTGTTCAAACCCGGAATCCCCTCAGGGTGGACCAGCATAGGTTACTGGGGACCTATTCTAACTAGGAATCCCAACGGGGAGGACCAGCACAGGTTACTGGGGACCTATTCTAACCAGGAATCCCCACAGGGAGAACCAACACAGGTTACTGAGGATCTATTCTAACCAGGAATCCCCACAGGGTGGACCAGCATAGGTTGCTGGGGATCTGTTCTAACCAGGAATCCCAATGGGGAGGACCAGCATAGGTTACTGGGGATCTGTTCTAACCAGGAATCCCCACAGGGTGGACCAGCACAGGTTACTGGGGATCTATTCTAACAAGGAATCCCCATGGGGAGGACCAGCATAGGTTGCTGGGGGCCTGTTCTAACCAGGAATCCCCATGGGGAGGACCAGCACAGGTTACTGGGGATCTATTCTAACCAGGAATCCCCTCAGGGTGGACCAGCATAGGTTACTGGGGACCTGTTCTAACAAGGAATCCCCATGGGGAGGACCAGCACAGGTTGCTGGGGATCTATTCTAACCAGGAATCCCCTCAGGGTGGACCACCATAAGTTACTGGGGATCTGTTCTAACCAGGAATCCCCACGGGGTGGACCAGCACAGGTTACTTGGGATCTGTTCTAACCAGGAATCCCCACGGGGTGGACCAGCACAGGTTACTGGGGATCTGTTCTAACCTGGAATCCCCACAGGGTGGACCAGCACAGGTTACTGGGGATCTATTTTAACCAGGAATCCCCACGGGGTGGACCAGCACAGGTTACTGGGGACCTGTTCTAGCCAGGAATCAGCATCCCCACAGGGTATCTTTACAGGTTAGAGCAGCCACCAAATTAGTACCTCACAAAGCACAATTTACACACAATATGATCACTGATGAGATGCCTTTTGGGGGCAATAAATCTTTTTTCCAAAGAATGAATAAGTTCACAGAGCGAACAAGTTCTTCTCAATCTAAATATGAACCGTTTGGCTCTGAGACCCTTGCCGACAATACTTGGCTAAATCCAGCATGTCTTTGGATATTTCAGAAACCTCATCTCATTGTTGCAATTTTTGAAAAAATGTATTTCAAAACATCAAACAAATGTGGTTGCTAGCAAGAAGCCAAAGTATTAAGTGATTTTATGTAAAAGAAAATACAGTGGCTTGAAACTTTCTGATTACAATAGAAATGTCTGTTGAATGATTTACAGGGTTGAGGCTAATTTACTCAGCACATGCCAAATGCAAAGCAATTAACAAAACACGCCATGTATCAAAGTAGTACCTCGGGCTATCCGGCCTCACCTGAGTGTGAAATACAGTAATGGCTATGGATACAAACATTCGACTCGGACAAATCACATCATTCATTCTGTGAATTCATTAATTCTTCACTGCTGATATTCTCCAAATGATCCTCTAAATTCATGAGTTTGGGTCATTTAGTTTGGAGGTTTTTCTGCTTTCAAACTGTTTTAAATATCATTGCAACCACTCTTGATATTTTTTTCCATAAAATGTTATTTGGCATAGCTATTTCAAAGTTTATTTTTGGAAATAAGCAATTTTCATAATCTTTTGAGGAAATACATTTATCCCAAAGGGATGCATTGCACTGATGCCGGATTACGACCAAACAAAAAAATGTTTAAAAAGTTTTTCATCTGTGATGCCAGTGCGGGTAATCAAGTTTACTGTTTAACGCTGCACTCAGCAAAGTTCTAGCTACATGATGCGGCCATCGAAATAATCGAGTCTGGATCAAACAATCAAGTGACTGGGCTTTCAAGTTTGTTGTTCAGTGCTGCATTCAGCAGTATTCCAGCTGAATGACAGTGGTCAGTAAACAATTGAATCTGAACCAGACAATTGAGTGAGTGATATTGTAAGCAATGATTCACGCTGCCCGGATACGATGACACACACCAAGCAAATCACTAAGCCTGACCACCTGATCCCGTAAGTCATCCTTTACCACAAGGGTTGGGTGCTGGGGGTCTAATAAATACCCGGGATCCCAAAGGGGTGGACCAGCACAGGTTGCTGAGGATCTATTCTAACCCAGAATCCCCATAGGGTGGACCGGCATAAGTTGCTGGGGATCTATTGTAACCCAGAATCCCCTCAGGGTGGACCAGCACAGGTTGCTGGGGATCTATTCTAACCGAGAATCCCCATAGGGTGGACCAGCACAGTTTGCTGGGGATCTATTCTAACCGAGAATCCCCTCAGGGTGGACCAGCATAGGTTGCTGGGGATCTGTTCTAACCTGGAATCCCCATAGGGTGGACCAGCACAGGTTGCTGGGGATCTGTTCTAACCAAGAATCCCCTCAGTTGTGGACCAGCACAGGTTGCTGGGGATCTATTCTAACCAAGAATCCCCTCAGGGTGGACCAGCACAGGTTGCTGGGGATCTGTTCTAACCCAGAATCCCCTCAGGGTGGACCAGCACAGGTTGCTGGGGATCTGTTCTAACCCAGAATCCCCTCAGGGTGGACCAGCAAAGGTTGTTTCGGATCTGTTCTAATCCAGAATCCCCTCAGGGTGGACCAGCACAGGTTGCTGGGGATCTGTTTTAACCCAGAATCCCCTCAGGTGTGGACCAGCACAGGTTGCTGGGGATCTGTTTTAACCCAGAATCCCCTCAGGGTGGACCGGCAAAGGTTGCTGGGGATCTGTTCTAACCCAGAATCCCCTCAGGGTGGACCAGCACAGGTTGCTGGGGATCTGTTTTAACCCAGAATCCTCTCAGGGTGGACCGGCAAAGGTTGTTGGGATCTGTTCTAACCCAGAATCCCCACAGGTTGGACCAGCACAGGTTGCTGGGGACCTATTCAAACCTGAAATCCCCTCAGGGTGGACCAGCATAGATTGCTGGGGATCTACTCCAAACAGGTTGGAAATTCAGGACAGAAGCACTGGTTTAAGCTGAAGCACTAAGTTTAACTAACTGCAGCTAACTGGATTTGTGGTAACAATTCATCCATGAAGCAGTGAGTTTAACACTTCTTTGAACAGACCTTCAGGTATATTACAGCCATGTGATGAAATATATAATTAATTTGTTGGAATTCACTGCAATTAGGGCTCCGGTCACTGAGAAAAAAGACAAATAGGTTGCTTATTAAAACCAAATTTCAATTTTTGTCAGATATTAGGTGGTAGTGAACAAACAAACTCAATGCAACAAAACCTTTTTTTATAATACTTACGAGGCAAATGAACACCCCTTCCCTGCTGCTGTTTTCTGTAAAAATCTGTAACATACACAAGAAAATATGGATTATAAATTTTCAATCATATACAGGGTTGCTACAGTGAGTGAGTGAGTTGGGTTAAGCGCAGCTTTTAACATTATTCCAGTTATATCACGGCGTGTCAGCTTAATGTGGGAGGAAAGCCCGAAGTGATGCAGGTCTCAGACATTTACCGCTTCGGTGAAACCCACGAGCACAGGTATGGTGCAGACAAACCTAGAAACATAATCGGGGCGAACCGGGATTCGAACCCACAATCACAGGTTTCTGGCGTGCCCAAGGGACGCAACTCTGCACAACGAATCGCGGCGCCTTTGACGACTGGTCCACCCGTGACCCCGGGTTGTAAGGAAACATGACTTTCAGATTGATTTAGAAGTTGGTCAGGGGACGCCTTTAGGTACAAGGCGCTTAATACGGCGAATATGGTAAAATAATCACTTTGGCTACCGTGATGATTAGAGGTATGGTGCAGGCAGACCCAGGAACATGATCAGACACAATCCAGGATTTGAACCAATGACAATGACACAATTCTTTTAAACAGAGCACATATACTTCGAAAAGTCGATATGGAATTTTGAAGAAATGTCAAGTTCATACCTTAACATGTCATTAATACAGTCATAAAACACTGGTACTTTTTTTTGAGAGAGGAGAGCCAGACAGGGATATGTTTTTGCAAGTTAAAAATATATCTGCTTTAATAGACTTTAGTCATCTAAACAATCTCAGTTAAATCCTATCTGCTAATCTGATTCCATGCCTCTCTGAGTGAAGACATGGAGGTCACATAAGGTGAACGTTGTTATCAGTCAATCAGTGTCAAGGTTTCGAAATTCTTGGTACAAGCATTCAGAGGTGTACATCTTATTTCTCAAATTCTGTATCTCAAAAATGAACACTCATAGGCAATTCCGAATGAAAATAATAAAGGCCTCTCTAATTATGTTGTGATTTTTTTATCCACACTGTCATTCTGAGCGCATCCAAACCTAAACAGGAGTGCCAGTTGAGAAACTGCCCATGTTCTCTGTGGGTTTTCTTTTGTAAAGTCTCAATTTTCTGAAATGAGGTGACAACCTCCGTGGTCTAGTGGTAGAGTATCCCCCCGGAGAGCGGAAGGTAAGGGGTTCGATTCCCGGCCGCATCATACCAAAAGACATTAAAAGATGGTACTTGTTGTTACCCTGTCTGGTGCTCAGCATTAAGGGGCTAAAACAAGGACTGGTCGGCTCGGAGTCAGTATACTGTGTCTGAGTGGGGTATTCATCTTAAACTGCAGCATGGTATCTCAGTGAGCTAGCACTATAAATCGGCATCAGTCTGGACTAGTACAAGCAGCCACACACACACATGCATGCACGTCGCTATATAAGTACAATAATCTTGGACGCGACGTGAAACCCCATTCCACCTCTCCTCACCTCCAAATTGAGGTGGGAAAGAATTGTAACTGACTTGTTTTAGAAAGCTGACATCTCACTGGCTGATGAACATTGGCATCCTTCTTTAGACTGGGTGGTCAAAGTCCGCTCAGGGTTCGTCTGACAAAACCTCCTTCACACAGAGAAGTATCATATTAGGGTAATACATCTCATTTTAATAAGTCTGACCATCCGACCATCTACCAATTTGACTATCATCAAGTTATCAGTCACACATTCATTCATCCAATCCTTTTTTTTCATCAAGTACTACTCCCGTTTATCATTCATGTGGGAGGTAAGTGAGTTAGTTACTCCAATCACAAGAGACCCACAGAAACAATGTTATTATAGTTCTGACACACCAACAAACATCAATGACACTGTGAGCCACTCTCTGGGGCCTTCAAACAACAGGCAGCCATTCATCCCAGTTCATCACTGAAATAATATCATTACCATTGTCACTGAACAATATTGCTGTACAAAGAAATCTAATTTCACGACATCAAATGAGCACAAGTATATCCTCTATATGAGTCAGATTCTGGTGTCTGTTTCGTGAACATGTCAAAACAAATTTGCTGGGTCTCATTCACAGATTGAAGGTCCCAGAAGGGCTATTGGGTTAGGATGACATGGCAAAAGTTAGTCATCGATGAAGATATAGTTGAAAAGAATTGGGGGATTGGGGTTAAGGGAAGATCTGCTGGAAAAGTATTGAAGAGTACACAACACCCACTCATTTTCGTATCTTGATATCTTAAAGTTGTTCAAATTGTTTCCTTTGTTTTTAGGAACAATGCATTGCACATGGAGATACCATGCCACAGTTTCAACACACACCCAGACACAGTATACAGACTGTCTATGTCTTATCCAATTTATGACAAGCGCCAGCCAGGGTAACAAAAAGTATCAACTAGACCATGGAGGTGCTGTGAGTGAGTGAGTGAGTGAGTGGGTGAGTGGGTGAGTGAGTGAGTGAGTGAGTGAGTGAGTGAGTGAGTGAGTGAGTGAGCGAGCGAGCAGGCCGAGTATGGTTTTACCCCGCTTTTAGCAATATTTCAGCAATAGCACGTCATCGGGGGACACCAGAAATGGACTTCACATATTGTACCCATGTCAGGAATCGAACTCGGGTCTTCGGCATGACGAGAGACTGCTTTAACCACTAGGCTACCCGACCGGCCCATGACAGAAATCAATGTACAGAATAAGTTGATGGATAAAGTCAGACATTGCTTGCTCATTACTAAGTCAGCAGAGACGTAAACCATATTTAAATATGGCTCTCTGTAAAAACCTGATGACTATTCATGTTCATAAGAAATGAACCACAACAATCTACAATAGGTTCACAAAATAGTATCTCGTAATTTCAAATAAGCCAGCTATCCTTATCCTTGCCCAAACAAAGGGCGCATGAGTGGTCCAGTGGTATACAGCATGGACCTGTGGCATACATGGGCGTATACATGTATGACTCAGTGGTATACACTGACGGCCCAAGGGTAAACTTTGATGGTCCAGTTGTAAATATACTTGGTCCAGTTGTATACATAGCTGGTCCAGTGGCATACATAGGTGGTCCAGTGGTATACATAGGTGGTCCAGTGGTATACAAAAGTGGCCCAGTGGTATACATAGGTGGTCCAGTTGTATACATAGCTGGTCCAGTGGCATACCTAGGTGGTCCAGTGGTATACAAAAGTGGCCCAGTGGTATACATAGGTGGTCCAGTTGTATACATAGCTGGTCCAGTGGCATACCTAGGTGGTCCAGTGGTATACATAGGTGGTCCAGTGGTATACAAAAGTGGCCCAGTGGTATACATAGGTGGTCCAGTGGTATACATAGGTGATATACATGAGTTACAGTTCTTAGCTGTGCCAGGATCCACTTGTGATGGGTTTGAATGCCAGATTTGCCCAGGCCATGAACATTACTATGCCTGCACCATATCCATACTTGAGGGTTTCAATAAAGTGGTAACACTTCTCTATCACTTCAGGCTTTCCCCCAAATTCAAACTCAGATGCTGTGATATAACTGAAATACTGTTCAAAGCAGTTAAAGTTCGAAGTGGTCTCGTTGATGCCATTTCTACATTAACTTCATCATGAACATCCAAATCACCTGGAAACATCTTGTACTTTTTAATAGCAATATTCAAGACTACGAGACTACTGTGCATTTTAAAAGATAACCCTCAAATGACAGTAAAAACGAAGATGAAAAAAAGTGCAGAAATACTTTTATGGAAAGTCTGTGTACGAAGGATACTGTCTGGAAGCTTATTAAATTGCCATACACTTTTGGCTTGATCCAATTTGGACCCTAACAACAGCAAATGAAGTTGTATATGCAATACCCCATATAGCATGTCTTTTACACAGCTGCTGACGTATGAAGGCCATAGTTGCGTGTCTACAGACATGCAGATGTTCGTGGTGAGAGCTTTTCAAAGCTGGAGGCAACTTATCACGGAGTAATTGTCAACATCCATCATGTATACACACATTAGTTCCATGTTTGCCTTCCAGTAAGTAACGTATTATGAAATTTAGATAAACACACTAATGACGCAGGAAGAGAGTTCTTATTGTATTATCTTGGCAACTAACTCACAAGCATGTTCTGCAGCTCACCTGGGCCTTTGGGAACATATTTTCTTTGTTTGTTTGTTGTGCAACGCCATACTTAGCAAAATTCCAGCTGTATAACATTTGTTTGCTTGGGTGTTTTTTTAACGCCACACTCCAATATTCCAGCCTTGATGGTGGTCTGTAAATAACTGAGTGTGGACCAGACCGTCCAGTGATTGACATCATGAGCATCGATCCAGGCAATTGGGATACGATGACATGCATCAACCAAGTTAGCAAGTCTGACCATCCGATCCTGTTAGTTGCATCTTACGACAAGCATAGTCGCTTTTACACAAGCAGGGTTACTGAAGACCTATTCTACCCCGGATCCTCGGATCCCCCGATCCCCGGTTCTGTCACCATATGTACAACAAGCATGTCTCTGAATTAAACAACTTTCCAAGAACTGATAAAAGTTCATTTTGGCCCCAACTATGACAAAGACATAGACATTCTTCATAAAACAAAACAGGACAACTGACAGTTTGACATTTGATATTTTTCTGCAACATTTTTGCAAATGAGACTTAATGCATATACACCATTTAGGAACTGCCACAAATCAAGCATAATCAAAACTGCCTGTGTGGTTTTAGAAAAGCTCATAAAGAATAGGATACAAACTGAAGACAAACTGGGTAACTTGGGCAAGATGAGTCAGGCGTCATTTTCAAAAGACATCAAGTGACATAAAGTCAAAAATGTTCTGTAGCTCACCTTAACTTTTAAGGAATATTTGCAACATTAGATGCAACATATATGTCACAACATAAGGGTAAAGAAGAATATACAGTGGTAAAAATCAGAAGTTGGAAGGAGGAGGTGAGCCACAGGCCCTTTTTGTCTCACTGGGAATGTCAAATTTTAAAGTTAAAACTTTGAAATATTGGTTTGAAAATTTATCATGGATGTTCAAATGGTT